CTCTTGGAGCGGGCGCGTCGCTTCGGCTCGCTCCTCGGCGGGGGCACTCTGCCGGTGTAAGGGTCCGTCTTGGGTGGCACCCGCCTGCCTGGCGGCCCTGGTGCAGGTTCGGGGGTGCCAGGGCGCGGGCAGGAGCGCTCCATGGCTGGGGGGGTGCCCAGCTGCTCGTCCAATGACTCAAGGAAGTCAAAGCTCCTGCAGTGGCGCTTGTTGAAGGGCTGCGGCTCGCGGGGCAGGGACGAGGACATGGAGGCATCACATTGTGCCAGGGGCTGGCAGACAATTGAATCCCTGGGGGCTGTGGTGGCCACCTTTATGTCTTGGTACACTGTAGACACCAGGATGTCAGGCGGGTCTGTTCGTGTCATCTTAAAAGCGACTCTTCTCCTGCCAGCTCCCCTTCAGACGGCCTCAGAAGGCAGCCAGCCCTACAAGAGAACAGATGAAGGCGCCTAAATCCTGGCGGAGACCTCAGGGAGCCACGATGACAACTGGATAAATCCCCACAGCTCCTGGCTTGGGGTGGGGAGGGTTTGGCCACTTCTTCAGAAATGAGGGGTCAGGGGAGTCCCAGCCTCTGCTGCTGCTGGTATTAGTGAGATCCCAACTGGGGGAAGAAGCTGGAAAAGGGCTCCAAATCCAGGGTGCAAATAACGGAGCAGATGGCAGGGCACCTGTGGGTGCAGCGGGCAACACAGGGCAGGCAGGGAGGGGTGCCAGCTCACTGCAGGGAGAGGAGGCCACCAACTGCATGCCCCTGTTCCTAGGGTGCAAGAAGACACGGGGACCCTCTTGCAGCATTACAGGGAATAGCAGCTCTGAACGGGGCTGGGGCCACCAGGGTTTTCCATAGCAGATGGGGAACGTGTACCCGGCCCCTGCTGTGAGCATCCGAGTGGCTGTGGGGTCTCCTGGGACCATGTGCACCCCCATCCCAGCACACGCAGCAGCACCATCCCAGCACCAGTGTTGTAGGCAGTGCAAGAAGGAGCATTACCCAGGGGTCGGGGCCACGAGCACCCACCGTGGTGGTCTCAAAGCCATCGCAGCTCTGGGGCTCTAGGGTGGGGGACACTGTGGCTCATGAACACCCCTGCGGGGTGCCAACAGTCCTGGCTGCTTGAAGCCACATCGGTCCCTGGGTCAGCTCCGGACCGGCACGGGCAGTGCTGGGGGCTGGCAGGTGGGTGCTGTGGCCGGTGCCTAACCCCACATGCCAGCAGCGACTCCTCTGCTGCTACCGGGGGCTCTGGGCAGGACAGACCGGGGTTCTTCCACAACAGCCCTGCCGGAGGGGCTGTGCTGGTTCAGCAGCACCACCTTTGTCCTCTCCTGCATCCTGCAACCAGGACACCTCTCCTGGGCTGGAGAGCAAGTGGGATAGTGGCTGCAGCTCCTGTGGGACAGGGGGTCTGGCACCCACTGTGCACTAGCACCTGGTCTGGGACGATGCTGCACGGGTGGCCGGGGTGGGCAGAGTCCCCAGCCACATGCGTGACACAGCTGTGTGACAAGGGGGGCACATCAGCACAAGGCCCCCAGAGCAACCCAGAGAGCAGACAAGGTGGTTTGCCCGCAAGGCCCAGTGGGTTGTGGCACTAATCCTCACCAAAAGCCCACTGTGCGCCGGCTGCAGGCGGCCATTGGCACCAGGTGGACGTACAGCCCATGGCAGGGCTACTTGGCTGGCTTTAATGCTCGCCACATCCTATGAAGGTTTGTTTTTTTAGCCACGTGGCCAAGGGGCCCAGGAGGGCAGGTGAGGGCCAGCTGCTCCAGAATATACTAAAGGTACACAGCAAAAGGCATTTGTCTTTATACAGCAGCAGAGGACCACAGGGAAGGTATTTCTGGGAGGAAAGGAATAGACTTTATTTGGCAAGAAACAGTATTGACTATGAGAGATGGGGAGGGGGGCTTGGCTCCCCCCTCATTACCCAGATAAAGCCCTGTCTCACCCCAAAGCTGGGGGGGAGACAGATGCCAGAGCCAGTGGGGTTGGGGTGTCTGTCCCTGGGGTGGGCTGAGGAGAGCTTGATGCCAGGAGGAGATGGGGATCCCAGTGCCTCCAGGGCTGGGGGAGCAGGTTTGCCCCTGGAGCAGTGGCTCAGCATTGGCCCTGCTGCATCACAACACTTGGGAGCTGGAGTGGGTCTGGGAAGGCAGCACCCCACACCGCAGTGGTGCCAGCAATGGCATTGGGAAGCCCATCCCCGTGGTGTCGGGGCAGCTGGTGGGCAGGGAACGACAGCCCAGGGTCCTACCTGGTCCGGCAGCAGCAGGGAGGAGGGGGGTGGGCTGAGCTGGCCAAGGGCCCTGCGGCAGCTCCATCCCAGCACTGCAAGATAAAAGAGGCATGTGAGGGTCCCAGGAAGCTCCTGGCCATGGCAGAGGGGCAGCTGCCGGAGCCATGGGGTACCCTGGGAGGACACTGAGCACCCTGAGAGACCCTTGCAGGCACAAGACCCTGCTGAGCCAAACTGAACTGTAGCCCAGTGAGGCCCCTGTGTGCATCCCTGTGCCCTGGGGACATGGGCACTGCATCCCATGGGCACTGGCAGTCCCCCCACCATCCCAGCAGTTCCCCGCTGCCCGCAGAGCTGCACGAGGCCATGGCAGTGGGGGGACCCAGGGACAGTGCAGTGCTGGCATCCCCAGCGCTGCCCAGGGTTGCCATGGTTTCTCCAAATTATTCCTCCTCTGCGAGAACAGCGTGGGTGCGTGGGGAGGCTGCTGGGGTGGCAGCACTGCGGGGGGGCTGGGGGAAGCCAGGGTTTTGCGGCACCGTAGGGAGATCAGAGCACCCACAAAGCTGTGGGCATCCTCTGCCCATTGCGGGGGCAGAGTCAGGATGGCCCCATCAACACTGCTGGTGCCCAGTGCCGCTGCGCTCCCACACCCCCGCTGTCCCCAATGCTGAGTCCCCTCCGCAGGGAGAGGATTTTGCGTCCCCTCTGGTCTCCAACCCTCTGGCTGTTGGGGACTGGGTGTCCCGCCTCGCCCCCAGCCCTGCCCACTCTTGGCAGGCACCAGTCTCCCTGCCCAGACTCTCCGGGCCGTGTCACCACGGGGGTGCTGACGCCACTGGCTGCACTCTCAGAGCTGCTGGTGTCCACCGAGCTCCCTGCGCAGGAGCCACCCTCCAGGGGCACACAGCCCCTGGGGACACTGCCAGCCCCATGCCCACATCCCTGCCCCACAGAGGGCTCAGGCAGTTTGTTGTAAAGCCCCCCTGTGCCCCCACTGCTGGGCAGGACACATGGACACCTCTATCCAGCCTGTCCCTGGCACAGCAGCTCCCCTCCGGCTGGCCTGCAGGGTTGCCAAGGGGCACCCAGCAGGACCCACCCCATGCAGCCCACAGGACCCCCCCACTACTCACCCTGGCACCGCTGCGGGGCCCGGTGCCACCCACACGCTTCCACCCCACTCAGCACCCAGCCCTGCCGGTGGAGCCCTGCCTGCAGCTGAGGGCTGCCCTCGCTGCCAGCCTGGCACCCCATGCTGCCCGGCACCCTGCTCCCACTGTGCCACACGTGAGCACCCGGCCTCCGGCCCCTCCGGCCCATGGCAGCGGCATGAGGATTCTGGGGGCCAGGAACAACCCCAGGCTGCCGGGGGGGCCCGCGGGAAGCTGCCAGGAACTGGGTCACTGCCTGCACGCAGCACGTGTGGGCTGTAGAGCAGGACTGTGCAGGGCCCTGCCAGTGCACACTGTGCTGCCACGGC